CTTTGCCCTCAGCTCCTTCCCCCTACCTCAGTTTAATTTCATCTGCATCTATTCTTATAGTTTTTTTTTCACTGTCTTCTTACAGCTCCAGGTCTGTTTCATGTTTCCAGCTTTGATTATTCTCCTGAATTTCAGATTTAAATGCATCATTTCCTGATACATATTTATTCTTGGATCTCCCACAAACACCTCATAATATTCCCAAAACAGTTCATACACAGAGTCATACACTGAGGGTCAAAGATCTGAATTTAAGATTCCGACATTTAATAAGATGGTGAACAGGATATTTGACTTTAGTTTCCTCATCAAATACTGTCTTGAGACTCCATTTCACCAATATATTTAACTACTAATCATCCCTTCTCATATGCATTATTGCAATAACACTCTAATTGAGCTCATTTCCACCTTTACTTCACTGAAATTTATTCTCGACATAGTAGTCAGAATTTTTTTTTTTTAAAGTACGTTAGATTTTCTCTTTACTTAGAACCTTTTAGTGGTTTTCCATCTTGACTCTTACTAAAGCTCAAGCCTTCATCTGCTGCCTTCAACCCTATATTTACTCATTTCTTGACCTCAGCTCTTTCTAATCTCTTTTCCCCAGCCATTTTGATCTCCTTAGTGTTTCTTTAAATTTTCTGGACACCCTTTTGCCTCAGGTCCTTGGTGTATGACCTTTACCACATGACCTTTTATCCAAACAGATGTCACCCTTTCCTTCCAGAGGTTTTTATTTCAGATGTGACATTGTGATGTATTCTCTGACCACCTTAATTTAAAATTGTATCTCCATCTTTCCAGCCTCCAAGTATTTTTTTTAAGATTATTTATTTATTTATTTATTTGACAGACAGAGATCACAAGTAGGCAGAGAGGCAGGCAGAGGGAAAGAGGGAAGCAGGCTCCCCGCCGAGCAGAGAGCCCGATGTGGGGCTTGATCCCAGAACCCTGGGATCATGACCTGAGCCAAAGACAGAGGCTCTAACCCCCTGAGCCACCCAGGCACCCCCAGCCTCCAATTCTATTTTTTTTAATATTTTATTTATTTATTTGATAGAGAGAGATCACAAGTAGGCAGAGAGGCAGGCAGAGAGAGAGGGAAGAAGCGGGCTCCCTGCTGAGCAGAGAGCCCAATGCGGGGCTCAATCGCAGGAACCTGAGATCATGGCCTGAGCCAAAGGCAGAGGCTTTAACCCACTGAGCCACCCAGGCGCCCCCAGCCTCCAATTCTTAATCTCCATCTCTGTTTTATTTTTCTCCATAAGGTTTTATCTTCTAATATACTATACATTTAACTCATTTATTTTATTTTTGTTTCTATCCTCCCACTAAAATTTAAGTTTCTTGGTGGCAAGAGTCTCTGTATTAAAAAAAAAAGAAAAGTATTCCCAGTACCTAGAACATAGTAGAAACTCATTAGTGATTGTTTAATAAGTAAATGAATGAGTAAATTAAGATGGGGGTGGTGGTGGTCAAGTGATTTAGAGACAAAAAAAACAACAACACTATAAACTATTACACCTACTAGTATTAATCCACTGCCCCCATGACCGGGCTTATAAGAACATTATTATTATTATTTTTTTTTAACATCTGTATATTTTATCTTGGTTTTGAGATGCCATCCAGTCAATTTTTGAGGCTACTTAGAGACATATTTGAGCCTTTCAACCATTTGGTCACTAACTTTTTTTTTTTTTTTTTAAGATTTTATTTATTTATTTGACAGACAGAGATCACAAGTAGGCAGAGCGGCAGGCAGGGAGAGAGGAGGAAGCGGACTCCGTGCTGAGCAGAAAGCCCGATGTGGGGCTCGATCCAAGGATCCTGGGATCATGACCTCAGCTAAAAGAAGAGGCTTAACCCACTGAGCCACCCAGGCGTCCTGGTCACCAATTCTTAACTCTTACCTCACTTGCAGCAGAGTCTCCATTTTAGTCCCCATTACTTCAGTTCAATCATCAGGAGCTTTTCTCTAGACAATTTCAATAGTCTCCTGACAAATGACTTTGTACAATATTTTATCATAAATAATCTTTCTTAAGTACTTTCCTATGACTTTAAATTATCTACAGAATGTTTCCTATGGGAATCAAAGTCCTTCATTCCTGACTCTGACCTATGTTTTTGAGATGCTATTTTCCAACACCATAAACAGTTCTTTATGGTCCTTTTTATTTCTTTATACTTGTAATAAGTACTTACTGATTATTTACTGAGTCAGGTATTATACAATGGTTTTTAGCAAGGCACCATCTCTTTTCCCCTATCCTCACAGCAATTTGTTATAGTTTGGTAGGTAAGAAGGAAGGAAACAATCTAGCATCTCAAGATCATAAATCAAATGCAGAATAGCTATAGGTACAATGAAAATCCATTCTGATTTTTCTGGAATAAACTTGGTTTATACCTGTTTCCCAGTATAATTATTAACAAGCCTTCCTTCATCTTCAGAACTCTCCCAGTTTCATGATAAATTATACGGTCTCCTTGTCTATAAACAAAACAATTTGAATTTTATCTCACGCTCTTTCCCTACATTAACTACAAAAGTTATGTGACAATCTAAAACAAAATTTAAGTCCTCCTCCTCTAGCAGTGGAATATATATACTTATAAATATCACACAAACTGGTGAAAAAAAAATCAAGATTCTATAACCTGAAAGTCATTTTAATTTTAGAATTTTGTTTGTTTGTTTGTTTCAAATGCAGTTTAGTAATTAGTTCCTTAGTTGTATTTTCACTCTGCCCTCATCGGGAATGCCCTATATTTACTCTCCATGTATCCAAATCTTACCCATTTTTAAAGTAATGCTTACATCTCCAACCTATTCTTTGTTTCTGTCTCCATCTCTATCTGTGGTTTGTTCTTTTTTTTAGATTTACTTTTTAAAGATTTTATTTACTTGAGAGAGAGAGAGACAGCTATCAAGAGCACAAGTGGAGGGGGACAAGTGGAGATAGAGAAGGAGACTTCGCCCTGAGGAGGGAGCCAGTCATAGGGCTCCATCCCAGGACCCTGGGATCATGACTAGAGCCTAAAGCAAATACTTAACCTGAGCCACCCAGGCACCCCTGTGGTTATTTATTTATTTATTTATTTATTTACAATTTTATTTCTTTATTTGACAGAGAGAGAAAGAGTGAGAGAGAGTGAGCACACCAGCAGGGGGAGCAGCAGGCAGAGGGAGAGGGATGGGGGAGAAACAGGTTCCCCTTGGAGTGGGGAGCCTGATGTGGGGCTCGATCCCAGGACTCTGAGATCATGACCTGAGCTGAAGGCAGACACTTAACCAACTGAGCCATCTAGGCACCCCTGTGGTCTCTTCTTTCAGCAATTATTTTCTATATCATTTATTTGTCAAATTGTTGCATAAAGGTACTTTGTTTCCTTCTGGACCTATTGGCACAAGCAGACAAAGATGGTGACTTCTACATTTTTGTAGCTACTATTCTAGAACCAAATAGAGTATGCTCAATCAACTTAATGCAAAAACAAAACAAAACAAACAAACAAACAAAAAAACAACCCAGCTATGATAATAGTGGTAATAAGTAGGATATCGATGGTGAATTTATGAAAAAATATAACAGGATAAGATAAAATAATCAGAACTTTCAGGTAATATTTATAGTTCGAAAGTAGAAAAAATAGTTATATACCCACAAGTTGTGGATATGTTTGTGTGGGTTTGTAATACATATTATTGAAAATTATGTTGGGTCAGGAGAGAAGAGATTGAGGGAGACAAAGAAAAAAAATATTCCATACTTTATCCCAATGTGTGGAAAATGCACCATCATTCTGTATATTACTGGGGAAAAAAGTCAATTAAGTTTTGGCCTCATGCTTTCCATGCTTTTGTATCACTTAGAATTTTTGTTTGCTACATATTTAAAGACCTACTTACTAATAGTTTTTTTATCTTGAATCATTCCTGTGTATACATAACAAAAGTGTAAGTGATATCAAATGGCTAAGATTTGATATGGCTAGCACTTCTTCACATTCAGAGATCATCAACTGTAAAAAAACATTCCTAGTTCAGACATTTAAAATATTAAAAAAGTAAATATTTTATTGATCGGATTCACAGTGTATAAATAAGTGTATTGCAAAAACAAAACAGCAAAACAAAACAAAACAAAAAGACATATGATGAGTTTACTAGGACTTGAATAAAGACTATAGATCCTAAATATCCTAAAGCCATTGAAGGAAAATAATGTGATTTTTGGATATGGCCAATTATAGAAACACAAGTTAGAGCAAAAGTTTTTGGAAGTTACTATCACTTTTGCTATCCAGTAGCAGAAACTATCATCTGGAAACTTGTAGGAAAAAAAAAGAAAGAAAGAAAGAAAGAAAGAAAGGAAGGAAGAAAGAAAGAAAGAAAGAAAGAAAGGAAGGAAGAAAGAAAGAAAGGAAGGAAGGAAGGAAGGAAGGAAGGGAGAAAGGAAGAACGAAAGAAAGAAAATATTATGATAATGGGTATCTAATTGACATAAAGACCTGTAGCCTCAGTATTAGGATGGATGATTAGGAATTGAATTCTCAGACATGGAAAGTAAGTACAATATTTCAAGTTTTATTTATGATTTTTCTTACTCCTAGAACAGAGGAGGAAACTAAAATTTCTGGGATCAGGAATGTCTGCTTTGGATCAACAGCTGTAAAATCTACTGGCTGTGATTGTCATATGCCTTACCCAATATGACCAAAGTTCTAGTCATAAACACAGGAAGAATTCTTAACTATTTTCAGAACAGATTGTGTGAGACTGCAACATAGTCAGTTTTATCAAAATTGTGTGCTTGAGCTGAGTAGCTAAAATTGAGATAAATAATTGGTTTAGTTTTGCTGCTGAACAGAAAATGTTGATCACACTCATGGACCTTTTATGTATTGCTTTCCCACATTTCATCTTTGTACTGCTCTTGTGTTCATGTTCAGATCATTCATATTTTATTTCAAAACATTTTCATTTTCAGATCAGCAATTGTGTGATCCTGGTGAATTTCTTTGCCACGATCATGTGACTTGTGTCTCCCAGAGCTGGCTGTGTGATGGGGACCCTGACTGCCCTGATGATTCAGACGAGTCTTTAGATACCTGTGAGTAGAAAGGTTCTCATGCCATTCAGATTTACCTTACATGTGAAACTAAATGTCAGTTGTTTTCATGGATGACTGCTGTTCTAGTTGCTTCTTTTTTTTTTTTTCTTTCCAAATAGCCTAAGAAACTTGAAACCTTTTGTTTGTGTTTCCTTTAAAATGACTGTGTGAGTGAGACCGTAAAATGCAGTTTTGTAGTGTGAATTAATTTTTGAAGGGAAGAAAATGCAAGGTTAATTGTTTCAGTGTGATTGTGTTACTACTAGGAAAAAAAAAATAACTTGAGGAGGAAAAAAAATCCTTTTAAACATAACACTCAAAGGGAATAAGACCCTTTCCAATAATTTATTTCACCCATTTTGAGACAGAAGAGCATGTAGAAGGAATAGTAAAGTAATCAAGTTGAGCTCCCATATTATTTCTGTTAATGTCTTCTGGCACTATACAAATTATTGAACATGTTTTCTTATCTGAAATGGCAAGATAGAAATTATATTTATTCACCCATACAGGGCGATTCTTTGCCTTTATAATATTAGATTCAGAAGCCCTTCACACACATGGATCCCAACTGTCATCGTACCACTGTATCTAACTTGAAGTCCACTGAGGGCTTTGCATACATGAAAAATGCTGCTAATGCAAAATTATAAATATTAGGGCCATGGCTAACTCTGCTACACTGGTTTTTTGTTTGTTTGTTTGTTTGTTTTGGTTTGGTTTTGTTTTGTTTTATACCCACTAGCATATGGAGTATGAACAATCCCCTAACTTTTAATATTGGTATTTCTAGCACTTCTAGTTTGGTCTGTATACTCCCTGCAACCAGGTGTGACAGCTTATCAGCATTCTCAAAGCAGCTACATGGTGTTGTTGGGTCGAAGTGGAGGAAAAAAAATCCATCATCCTTAGTGCTTGATATTGTAAGAAATAACAATTACTGGTTCCACTTTCCATTTTTATTTACTTGTTTACAAGTCTTGCAGGCAGGGCCAATATAAGTTTTGATGAAAATCTTGCCATTAGAAAGCAGAGGCAATGATTATTCATTTTCTTTATGTTTGCCAGTGTTTTTAAAGTTTCTCAGCATATGGGTTCTTGAATATTTGCATTAATTGCTCTTTCCTTTGAACAGATCACTTCTTCCATAGGAAGAGGTTGTAGTTGTTTACTACATTTGTAATTCTCACCAGTTTAATTCAGAAAACCTTTACCAGACTCTCTATAGCATAGGAAACTTTCTTGGCATGATAAAAGAAAAAAATAAATAAATTAATGGGGAAAAAGCCCTAATGGATAAATAAAATGTAATAAATCCATACAAAAGAATGTTATTTGGCAATACAAAAAGAATGAAGTACTCATACATGCTACATGGATAAACCTTGAAGACATTTTGCAAAGGAAAATAAGCAAGTCACAGAAGTCCACGTATTTTATGATTTCACTCATTTGAAAGATCTCAAATTGGCAAATCTACAAAAGTAGGAAGTAGGCAAATGTTTCTCAGGGCCAACTAGGGCTGGAGGCAATAAGAACTGACTGTGAATGAGTATGGGATCTCTTTTGAAGGTGAAAATATTCTAAAATTAGATTGTGGTATGTATGCACAACACTGTTAATACATTTAAAAACAATGACTCATACATATTAAAATGGGTGAATTGTATAGCATGTGAATTATATAATAGTAAAGTTGTTTAAACATGAAAAAGCAGGAAAAAAAATCTCAACAGTATGGCTGCGGGTGCAGATGGCATAATAATGAGAGAAGACAACAATAATAAATGCACCGGGCATGAAATATATGTGGTGGGACCATCCCCTATTGAAGTACCATCTGGGAGTTTTCTCCTTGTTATCTCCAAGGGAGGGTTGCCATGACACAATCAGAATAAAAAGTTACATTTTTGAGTTCTGGTACTAGAATCTTGTGTTTCTGTCCTGATCCTTCCACAAAATTGCTGGTGGGAAAAATGACAGAGATGTGAGATAGCTTTGTGGAATGCATGTGCAGGAAGGCCTTGTTAAAGGGAACAATTCCCTGGAACTGTGTACCTGACACAAAGCGAAAGCAATTAAGAAGACATGGCTGGAGAGCCTATAAAGTCAGGAGTTTCCTTCATGCTGATGAAGAATAGAGAATAATGATGTTCTTTTTGTGCTAAAGAGGGAGTTAAGTAGGAGACTCAGACTGGAGATGTGTATTGTAGAGAAGACTAGCAAGGACCTGTGTGACCACAAACAAAGCCCAGAGAGGAAAGAGACCCTGCAGTGAACGCTAAAGCGAATGGGTGACAAGTATCCCTCTCTCCTTCCCATGCCCACTCCACGCATCTAGGAAGATGGTGCACAAGCATCAAGGCTACACCGATGGATTAGACCCGAGTTTGCCAGCCGGCATCCACCCTGATTGAGTGGGCATTTCCTGTGAATAGTAGGTGTATCCACCATAATGTTGTTAAATATTTGAATGCCCATCCTGCCCAGAAGGTAGACAGCACCTAGGGCTTTGGAAAAGATATGTCCTTCCTTCACAGAAATTAGGGGCTTTAGCAGCCTGAAGCCTTTTAGAAATTACATGTGGTTTCATTAAAAATAGAGATATACTTTCTGCTTTCTTAAAATATTTTTAAAATGAATTCATACCTGCTCAAGATATTTTTGGCAGTTTTTAAGTATATAGTTATTTTCCTCTCCAATAAAATGTGATGAATTCTATTTAAAAGTATTTCCTCATTTTGGCTGTTCTTACTCTTTTGACATCAAAATTGCTGAACATTCTTAAAGAAAATGTTAAGACTATTCTTATATCAGTGTAGTTACCTAACAAAACAGAGACATGACTATTTCTCTACCTGGGTACTTGATCTGGCAACATATTTTGATCTACATTAAATTAGTCTCTTCCAGATAAATAATTTCAGTCAGTACCCATTGAAATATGGACAAGCATAGAAAAAAGCTTTATGAAAAATATCAGAGGTTTTCAAATTTAAATTTCTCAATCCAGATGTTCACAATTACCATTTTCTCTAATCATAGTGCTTTGTAATGTGTTGTTTTATGACATTCATATGCAGTCATCACTGATCTACATAAAATAATTGCATAATTTTATAATTATATGAATGCATACATTCAATGTGAAGGATAAATACTAGAAATCGAAAACCTTGAAGACTGATTTTTAGGAAGGGCAATTTTGTGCTCAGTGTCTGAACAAAAGTTTGTTATCTTTGATTTGAAGACAAAGTGTGTTGTATCTACAAAATATTAGATGAAAACAGCTGATGCAATACACTTTTCGAGGAATAAAAACTTTACTTGTGAAATGCTGATGATTGAAATACTTTAGAAGACAAAGGTACATGCAGAAAAACAAGAAATTTTGAACTTAAATGAAATTTAAGTATTTGGGAATCTGAGGTGTTAATGTGCACATATATTCCTCTTCTGTGCTATTTAGACTCAAGCTCTAGTGAAAAAAAAATGTAAAGAAACAAACAAACAAAAAAACAAAAAAACCAAACCAGCAAAACCAAAAAACAAAGCCAAAAAGATCCCAGACTTTTGTGGGAGGTTGGTTTACCATTAAGCTAGATTGTGTGTTGGGATGTTTTCTCAAATATGCAATTGGAGAAATTTAATAATTTATATTCTTACATTGGATGTGAGAAATGATTCATTAGCCTTCTATTAAAAATAAAATTGCTTATGTCCCCATATTATTTGAAGTAATTTTCAGGGTCTAAATGGCTGATCATCTTTAGGTTCTATGAGGCAATGAGAATAGAAAATCAGGAAAATCACCATCTTTCTACTCAGCGCTTTCAATCCAGTTGTTAGTCTAGCATCATTGTGTGTGACAAGAATTAAAGTGAATGGTGATCATGTTTATTTATGGAATGAAAGCTTAGCACCACCTGTGGCAGGGAAGTCTTCTTGAAAGGCACTTTTATTCTGAGGTATTCAAAATTTAATTCCTTCTAGGATTTTCTGTTCAGTGCTTAATGATACTTCCTTTCCAACAATCTGCTTCAGCTGATGTGTGATGTTTTCTGCCAATCTGATGTTAATATACTTAAAACTAGATTCTCCTTTTTTAAGTCAGGAAGGTAACAGTTTTACTGTTTCTTTTCCTTCCCTATTGCCCTACACTACCCCCCTCCCGATAGTAATTTAGGCTGCCCTTCAATTACATATCATACTTTGGATGTAATGACTCACCGGCCAATAAAGGTGATAAAAATAAGGCTATAAAAATAGCCTTAAAGGAGGGTAAGAACTGCAACCTGGATAGTTGTGATCTGGGCACATTGACTCTATCCTGTCCCTCTGAGGAATCAGCAAACTTTTTTCAGTAAGGGACCAGATCGTAAATATTTTAGATTTTGTGTCCTATGTGATTTCCATGATGTATTCTTGTTTTTTATTTGTCAAACCCTTTAAGATGCGAAACAAAAAACAAATGAACAAAAAAACGTTCTCAGCTTAGAGGCCATTCAAAACGGGCCACAGCAGGGATTTGGCCAGCGGGCTGTAGTTTGCGGACACCTGTTGCAGTGTCAGCCCTGAACTATACACACTGTTCCGTACGGAGCTGGGTCTGTGCTTGGGTACAACTGCACAGCAAGCAGCATCACCCCTCAGTGGACGTATGTGGCACAGAGCTACGCATGTACCCACCACCTCATGGGGCCAGACTTGGGCAGTATGGCGTCATCTACGATAACTGGGTTCTTTCTCCTATGTTTGCATATCACCATATGGGTTAGGATTACATTTGATGTGGAGCAGAAACAGTCGCTTAGCCAGATAGGGATTTGTTGTTCTTCTATAAAAAAGTTGCAAAACACCACCATTCTGCTCTGTCCTCCCTAGCATGAACCTGTCAATCTTAGAGTCAAAGCACAACTACTTCACCACTGCCAGTCGGTAACTTCATTTCAGGCAGCAAGAAGGGATGGGGAAAATGGAAAAGGGAAGTGCCAGTCTCT